GGGGGGGGAGAGAGAGAGAGAGAGAGAGAGGCAGACAGAAAGAGCAAGAGCACACTGGGGTTAGGAGGTAAAGTTTGGGCCTCCAGGTCAGGCTTGAGGACGTGACCTGCATGGAATCCATGCACTCGAGTCTGGAGGATCCCAAGATCTCAATCTGACCCTGAAATCCCTGAGGGGCCTCCTGGATGAGGGATGGCAGTTATCCCCCTCCCCAAGTGATGATGCCTTCCCACAGGGCACAGAGGGACCTCCAGGGCCCACGGGCCAGGCAGGGGAGCCAGTGAGTATCGGTCCGGATCCTTGCTGGGTGCAGGGGAGGGAGCCAGGACTCCTGGGGCCACACAGACAAGGTGCGGGGGTGAGCACGCTCTTCCCTGCAGGGTCCCCGAGGATTGATCGGCCCCAGAGGTTCCCCCGGCTCCCCGGGACGTCCGGTGAGAACGTCACTCCTCTCTGAGTCCCTGTCTTTCTCTCGACTTTCTTCCCCTGCATGTCAATTTCTGTCACCTGGGTTCTCTGCCCACATACCTTCCTCCAGGGTTTCTTGGGGTGTCGGACCCAGCCTCCCGGCCTCCACCCTGTCCAGTCTCACAGCCTCTCTTCCCCAGGGCGTGGTTGGAAGTGATGGTGCTCCAGGCGCCAAAGGCAATGTGGTACGTGCCCCTGACCTCTGACCCCTGACCCCTCTGACACTCTGACCCCATTTCCCTCTCCACTCCCATGACCAACCCCCCACATCCACCTCACTGACACCTGGATGTCACAACCCCTCTCAGCTTCCCTGGACCCCCACTGTCTCCCCAGGGTCCTCCAGGAGAAGCAGGCCCTCCGGGACAGCAGGGAAACCATGGGTCACAGGTTTGAACTTTCTTCCCCAATGATGGGGGGGCGGTGGCCAGCTGAGACCCTAGACCACCCCAAACCCCCCCAACCTCTGCACTCACTGCTTCTCTCTCATGTCTTCCATGCCCTCTTTTTTTTTTTTATGTCCCCAGGGACTCCCTGGCCCCCAGGGGCTCATTGGAACTCCTGGGGAGAAGGTGAGTGACATCTCCACCCAAGGCCACCTCCATTTCTCCTTCCTTCAACTCTGTTGCCAGGAAAAGCTTCCCACAGGGCCCCTTTTGTTCGCCCTAGAGAGTGATAAATTGCAACACTCCCTGAGCCAGCCTGGAGTTACAAAGTGTTATTGTTGGGGGACAGTTGGTTGCAAGAAACAGAAACCCACCAAGGCTGGATCATGTAAGGCAGTGGTCCCCAACCTTTTTGGCATTAGATACCAGTTTCATGGAAGACAATTTTTCCATGGAAGGGGACAGGAGGTCATCAGGCATTTGATGCTCATAAGGAACATGCAACCTCGATCCCTCGCTTGCACAGTTCACAATAGGGTTTATGCTTCTATGAGAATCTAATGCCATAGCTGATCTGACAGAAGGCAGAGATCCACTCGCTGACCACTCACCTCCTGCTGTGTGACCAGTACTGGTCTATGGCTTGAAGGCTGGGAACCCCTGACATAGGGGATCTTGTCAGGATACAGAGAAACTCACAGGAGCCTTTTGCAGAAGCTTTTACTGGCCAGACATGGAGGCTCACCCTGTAATCCCAGTACTTTGAGAGGCCAAGGCGGGAGGATTGCTTGAACCCAGGGGTTCAAGACCAGCCTAGACAACATAGCGAGACCCTCTCTGTACAAAAATTTAAAAAAATTGTCTGGGCATGATGGTGCATGCCTATGGTTCCAGTTACTTGGAAGGCTGAGGCAGGATGATCACCTGAGCCCAGGAGGTCAAGGCTACAGTGAGCCATGATCATGCCACTACACTCCAGTCTGAGCAACAGAGTGAGACCTCAATTTATAAAAAAAGTGGAGGGAGTGAGTCTAGAAAGCTCCACCCCAACATGTCTCTTGTATTGTTTTCCCATCTCATCTCTCAACCCTCCCAGAGGTGGAGGATTTCTGAGGCTCGGAGAGGGAAAAGAGCTTGCCCAGGGTCACACAGCAAGTCTGGGCAGAGCTGTGATAGATTTCCTGGCCAGTGGGATCTGCCGACTCTCTAACCTTGAGGAGGCTGCATGTCTGAGTAGATCTGTTCCTGGTGGAATTCCAGGGCTCTGAGACCCGCTGACTTCCTGCTACTGTTCATTCTCTTTCAGGGTCCCCCTGGAAATGCAGGGATTCCAGGCCTCCTAGGAGCTGATGGCCCTCCGGTGAGAACCAGGAGCTGGAAAAAGGAAGATGGGAGAAGGGGGAGGCTTGGGAATTTGGATAGCAGATTTTGACCTCTGACAACTCAGGATATTTCTTCCCCAGGGTCACCCAGGCCATGAGGGCCCTACGGGAGAGAAAGGGGCTCAAGTGAGTGACCAGGAGGGGGCTGGGCTGGGGTCAAAGGTCAGCAGGCAGGGTCAGGGGTCAAGGGCCAGTGAGAAGAGAGAAGAAAGTACCGAGAATGTGGAGGAGACAGGCCAGGATGGCATCGACCTTATTTTCTTCTCAGGGTCCACCAGGGTCAGCAGGCCCTCCAGGCTATCCTGGACCTCGGGGTGTGAAGGTAGGTGATACTTGGGGGTTTGAAGGTAGGGACTATTCATCTGCTTTGGGTTCAGGAACCCAGCTTCCTCCAAAGCTTCTGGATACACGAAGAGAGGAATTAGCCGACCAGGCAAGAGGTCACCGGAATGGGGATGTGTGAGTGACAGTATCTAGAAGTGTGTGTATGACCTTGCCGCTGCACAGTCCAGAACAGCATCACAGTGTAGTTGTTGCCTTGCCATTCAGAACAGAGTAGCCCATCGGAGGCTGAACACATTTTGCTGCAAGCACGTGTTACAGTCTAGGTCTGCACGTTGTCATCGGGTGAAGGGTTGTGCTATAACCCAAGTACAGAGCACATAATCTACAATCACACCTGTGCTGGGATAAACCAATATCTGGCACTAGAGGTGCACTGTTGACCAAGTGCAGGGCCACAAGTTCATGTTTATGTGGGAGTTGAATCCAGTTACACTGTAGATACCTATAGGTACAATTGACCTGTAGTCTGAGAACAGAGTTTGGGGGTCATCAATAGCCAGTCCCTCACATTTGTGCATTGTAGACAAGCTTGGTCACATTATAATCAAGGAGGTGGCCATAGTGTAGTGGACCAAAGAGTCCTGTGGACAGCTACATTACATTGTAGCCAGGCATAGTTTCATGTAATGAAAGAGCCCATGTCATAGCTGAGTCTAGTTACATTGTAGCCAGGTATAGTTACACATAATGAAGGCTATGTTGTCACTGAGTCTAGTTACAGTGTAGCCAGGCATAGTTACAAATAATAAACCCCGTGTCATAGCTGAATCTATTTACATTGTAGTCAGGCATGCTGTAGTTACATTCAATGAAGCCTATGCTTCCTCTGAGTCTGGTTACCTTGTACAGGTATAGTTACATGTAGTTGAAGTCTATGTCACAGCAGAATCATTACATCATAGCCTAGGCTGGAGAACTATTGTAGCCAAGCTCAGTTACATTGTGGTCAAGTGCATTTCTCTGTGGCAGGAAACAGCTGCTCTGTTGCCCCAACACATAGTCCATTGTATCCAAGTGCAGTTTCTTTGTAGCCACTATGCTCAGTTACCTTATAGTCAAGTGCAGTTTTCAGAGCCTGGTGTGCACAGGCATCTGGGCCTGCGCTGAGCAGCCTCACTGTAGCCCAGCACAGAGGTCGCCTTGTTGCCAAGCACAGAGTCGCCTTGTAACCAGCACAATGGGGAACATTCCTTTGCCTTTCAATGAAGCCCGGGCCTGGAATATTCATCTTTATTCCCCTGCCAGAAGGAACTGTGGACACATCGTCTCCGGGATATGGAAATCAATTCCTTGGAAATTTGGCCTTCCCTGCACACCCGCACACAGACAACCTTGGGAGGCTGCCAGTGTGGGGAGGGAATGGGGCTGAGGAAATATCATTTTTTCCGAGGCTGTCCCCACCCTGCTCTGGCCCAGCATCCTTTTGGGACTGTCCTGGCTGTTTCAGGGCAGGAGACTGAGTTTGGGCACTTCTTAGGCGGGGAAGGGACCTGAGAGTTTTTTTCTTCTTTTTTTTTTCAGGGTACTTCAGGCAACCGGGGCCTCCAGGGGGAGAAAGGCGAGAAGGTAAGGAAGGAGGGGATTATTTGGGAGAGAGGGAGCCCCTGATAAAGGGGCCCTGGCTGTACCTCCCCCCACCCAGGCCCTGACTTCTGACCTCTTCCTCTCCACCCAGGGAGAAGACGGCTTCCCAGGCTTCAAGGGTGATGGGGGGCTCAAAGGCGATTGGGTAAGGCCACCTCCAGATGAGGCGGTTGTGTGGGTCCGGGGGGCTTGGGGAAGACAGGGAGAGGGTGGACCAGGACTAAAATGGGGACAAGCGGGAGCAGGAAGAACAAAGGACTGATCTTCAGGACTTTTCTTTCTATTCCAGGGGAACCCCGGACCCCTGGGTCTCCGGGGAGAGGATGGTCCAGAGGGGCCGAAGGGGCAAGAGGGGCTGCCTGGCGAGGAGGGGCCCCCAGGCTCAGCTGGGGAGAAGGTGATTGACCCCTGGTCATCCCCTCCACCCTCCAGTCTCCTGTCCTGCAGTCAAGGCATCCCCAGCACTTGGCTCTGCCCTTTGGCCTTTAATCTTTGACCTCAGGTGGCTGCTGACACCCTTGCCGTCTTCTTTAAACCCTTAGCTCAGCATTGCTGAGCAATTTGTGCACATAGCTTGTGTACTTATCCCCACAACCACCACATGCCATAGGCTTCTTCAGCCCCATTTTACAGATGAGAAAACTGAGGTTTGGAACAACTGAGTGACCTGACCAAGGACATGCCCCTAACAGGCAGGAGCCCAGACTTGAACCCCATTTCCATGACTCCCACCTTGCTGCCCTCTCACCAGGTCGCAGACATCCTGACTTTTCCCCTCTGACCCCCAGGCTGCAATTTCTGACCTTTGTCCCATAATCTCTCTGCAGGGCAAGCTTGGGGTGCCAGGTCTCCCAGGTTACCCAGGACGTCCAGGACTGAAGGTGGGAAGTTAGGGGGCTAGTGTGGGCAGGGGCGGGGTTCAGAGACGGACAACTCAGGGTCCAGGATGCGGTCTGGAAGGGCAAGCTGTCCACCCCATGGGTCAATGAGAAAGTGTAAAATGTGGGCTGTGGGACCAGTAGTGACTCATGTCTGTAATCTCAGCACTTTGGGAGACTGAGGGAGGAGGACTGCTTGAAGCTAGGAGTTTGAGACCAGCCTGGGCAACATAGCTAGACCTTATTTCTATTTAAAAAATTAGCTGGGCCAGGCTCAGTGGCTCAGCCTGTAATCCCGCGCCTTTGGGAGGTTGAGGTGAGTGGATTGCCTGAGCC